TGGAAGCAGTTATCCAAGTCTCTGGCTCCAGTCTTTCACAAGCTGCAGGTGTTGGCTACTGTTTTCTGGCCCTTAGCGCTTCACGGTGCCTCCGCTTGTTTACTGGCAGAAGGACATCTCACAGCCTTGAGAAGGGCCGCTACCAAGGCCATTGGGCTCAATTGCGCCGGAGCCAACTCATGGCTTCGCTTCATGCTGCTGGATAGGATGGTGCAAGACCCCAGTTTTTACCACCACAAGACAGCGGTCATGACTTTTCGCAGAATGTTACAGAAAGCGCCTGACTTGCTGCACATGTGGCGATTACACTTCGGGCACTTGGGCAGCCCATTCCTTCCAGGGCCATACACCAAGTTGATTCATTTCTTTGGCCTGATTGGGTGGACGGTTGTGGATCCACCCTGGATTGCCGATCACCACGGATGTCTCCACGATCTACTGACCCAGGACAAGGGATATCTCCTGGCCAGGCTGGAAGATGCATGGGCCCAGTATGTTGCAAGCCGTGTCAAGCGTGCCCGAATGAGTGAGCTGGTAGGTATAGAGTTGGAACTTTCTCGCTTGGACCACCACAAGCTCGAACCTCGTTCAAGCTTAAGAGTCTCGGCCATCCAAACAGGGGCTTTTTGTCGGCTAGTGAACAGAGCAAGTTCGACACTACCAAATCCTTGTTGCGCCAGGAGTGTTAAGTCCCCGACGACAGGGTTCATTGAATTGGCATTATTGCCCTCGGTATGCCTCCATCCGGGAACATTTGCAATTTGACCCCTCGGTTTTTGAAGATTTGCCCGATTGCACCAAATACCACCTCTTGGTGCCCAAACTTTCTGAATCCTTGAGACTGATGGCATATTTGGAGGCTATGCCCGATCGCACCTTGGATTTTGAATCTTTTGAGGTTGCTTCAGGGCGGATACAACACCTGTTCACAGATGGGGCTTGTCGCAAGCATGCTCCATACACGTGGCTGGCAGCCTGGTCCGTTCAAAACGCTTCTACTGGACAACTCATAGCAGCAGCTCCGCTCCGTGGAGGCAAGCAGACGGCGCATCGGGCAGAGCTCCAGGCGCTTTACTCGGCAGTGGCATGGGGAAATTGCGTCAATTCATCAATCTGCCTTTGGTCTGACTCCTCGAACAATGTTGACACACTGGAGAAGCTCCTTCAGGGGGGACTGATGAGCCTTCCAGAGCAGGAGCTTGACCTCTGGACCCACATCGCCGCTGAGCTGGAACACAGAAAGCATCTGGCCACCTACATCAGGTGGATCCCATCGCACTTACGCCAATCCTCACTCGAGGACGACTTCGAAGCATGGATCTCGCACTGGAATGATCGCGCTGATACTGCAGCGGTTCTCACGAATCTCCATCGAGATCCGCTCTGTCTGCAACTGGCTAAAGAGAAGTCCCGCCAATATGAGCGACTTGGTGCTCTTTTGAAGCAGCTCCGCGCTTTCTACCTGGCAGTAGCTGATGACACTGCTCCGAAGCAGTCTAGTCACAGCACGACTGAGGCACCGGTAGTTAGAACGGTAGATGCAGACATTCTCGCAGAGCACCTTCCAATTGGCTGAGCCATGCTCACAGGGCTGCAGCAGACGTATCCGTCGGCTTTTGCCAATGACCTGGTTGAGCTGTTCATAGAGTGGGAAACGCTGGAGACTTGTCCTTTTTGGGTTTCGGACATCGAGCTGGTTTTTTTGTCGAGTATCGGGTTTGCTTTTCCCCTTGACTCTCCAGCGGGGCGGAGGATGACGCCTTTCTTTGAGCTCTTTGCCAAACCCCCTATCACTCAGCTGTTGAAACCTGTTTGCGTCACTCTCGACTTGGTTTTGCGTGGTCTTGGGCTTCTTGATTGGCGGAGGGTTGACTTTGTTTCCGCTGACCTTGGCATCTTAAAGAAAGGCGGAGCCACCTTTCTTGGGGTCCCTGATGGGCTGGCCACGAGAGCCAGAGAGGCTGTGAGACAATTCACACGCCGGAGGCCATTCAGGACCGTCCAGGATTTTTCACGTCCACTTCCCGCTTTTTAGATGTTCGTGGCCTGAGACAGTGGTCGCTCCGCGCCGCTCTTGCTGCGCGAGGATCACGGGACGCGCGGTCCGATTCGTCTGTGATAAAAATATACAATTCCCCAATCGCGAAGCTTTGGGGTCTTCAGCCATAGTATAAAGACTCCGGGGCAGCTCGAAGCAAATACTGAAGCAGGTTCAGCAAGTTCCGAGGAGGTTCCGGAGCAAGTTCCGGAAGAAGTCTCCAGAACTTCCTCCACAACCTGCTCCCGAACTTGCTCGCAACCTGCAACCTGCAGTGAGGTCATGCTGTCGCACTGACTTGGTAGCAGACTCCAGAGCGGGTTCCGGAGCAGGTTTGCTGTTCTTGCTTGTAGTAGTGTTGTCGCACTTGCACATATGTGGGCACATGATATGCACTACGCCGACGTATTGCCATGTTGCTATGCTGCGTGGCATATTGAAAAGGTTCACACTTCTGAAGACATCACTGTCTGGCAAAGACACGAATTTGCGATGGCCATTGCCTAGTAGGCTGATTTTGATGCCCAGCTGTTGGTGAAATTCTTTTGTGGCTCAGAGCCTCCTCATTGTTCCACCGTCGTGGTCCTCCAAAGACTTCAGCTGGAAAAACCTTGTCGGCGGAGAAGCGCAGGAGGTCACAGGCTGCGTCGCCCATGCGAACGTGGAGAGAAAGGCCTACTCCATGGGTCTCCATAGCTGACCTCATCAATGCAGCCAAAAATCAGATCCTGTTCTTCCAAACAAGAGTCACAAGAATGGAAAGGCATTTTGGCAAATATCGAGTCGCAGCAGCGAGTCGCGGAGCATTTCCCTTGCTTCCTCCAAAGACTTGCTCTTTTTTATGAAAACCTCGCCAATGAGCTGCTTGCCGTCGATCAACCCTTCGCAGGAATAGAGTAAATACCGCTCCACCTCCTCCAAACCGTTTGCCACCACCAAGGGTACCTGGTGCAGGGCTTCACCTTGTGCCCTGGATGCATCAAGAATAGCAAATGCTTTGGCTTGGAAAAGTTTGTTTGAAGGTCAGTGAACAAATGGAAAGGACTGGAAACTGACTCGCCATGTTCAAAAAAGCACTGGCCGTCTCCACAGGTGCCTTTCCAAAGTCATGAGCAGCAGACAGCGCCAGGGGTAGCTCCACCAGTTGGACTTTCAACGGCCACAGTGGTTCTTCTCCACTTCGAAGACTTTCTTGCAACCTCGGCCAACATTAAAAGTCCCAAAAAAGTACTAAATTTGGCCCAGCTATGCCAAACAGCTATGCTCAGCTGTTTCGACCAAATCTTCGTTTTCATTTTCAAGATGACATGTGATTGAAGCACTCCGATCTCATCTTTTAGCCAGCTGCTTGGCTGCCAAGCAGCTGGCTGAGGGTGACAGCGATTGTTGGCTTTGCCGGCGCTTTTTCCTTGTCCGTCTTTTTCTGCCATACTCCCAAATTGCGCGAAGCCTTCAATTTCACGGTATCTTGCGGATCCCATGCTGCTATCAGCTCTTTGGTCTTTGCACTCCCATGCCTCGTGTCGGGATCACCCCACACTATTATCGGGGTTTGCTCCGTCAGCTTGATAGTTGGGAGATGAGAAACTCTTCCCGAATAGAAAGTTTTTTCCTAACATGGTTCATATCTGTTCCTGACACTACTGACTCAAAAAGCTTGATTGTGCCTCCCGGTTGCTTGCCCGGCTCCTCACCCATGTTGCTGGCAATAAATTTGTCGGCCCCACTCTGAAGCAAAAGCTTCACGACATCATGATGGCCATTGTAGCACGCTCTCCAAAGTGGTGTGCGACCAAGCTCATTTTGCGTATCTGGATGAGCTCCCTTCGACAAGAAAAACTTCACCAGCTCCGTTTCTCCGTAACATGCTGCTTCAGAGAGACATGTGTTTCCATCCTCGTCCACAACATCTATCGGAAGCTGTACTGCAGTTCCTGCGTTGGCCTCCAAGCATGCTGCAGCCACGGTAAGATCACCGTCATTTACAGCATTAAAGAGACGTTCTTTTAGCACTTCTGGCTTTTCAGTCAGGCCAACTGCTTGCGCAATCGCAAGAATCTCTTCGGCAGATGCCAGCAATTCTTCGTTCACTCCTGGGGAGAACTGCTTGTGAGAATAGGGCATTCCACAATCAAGCCCTTTCAAGAAGTCTTCATTAGTACTAGCCCTGGCGAAGGACAGTGGCAAAGGCAAAGACCATGAAGGATGGTGGCCATTAGTGTTTGGGTTCTATTTTGGACACGTGACTTTCATATGGTTCTGTCCTTGTAGCTGCCGCGCATCTTGCACAGCAGCCTCAAGAACAGGTACGTCCACCTCATCAGAACCTGAAAGCAGTGAGAGCAGAGAAGTGCACCGACATGCCCAACCAGAGCAAACAAGTTTGACCCAAAAGGCCAATTGCCTCGCCTGTGCATGCCAACCTGGTCCTAGTGAAGCTGAAGAAGGGATCTGTCCCGTTGTTTCGTCACTGCTGTCAAGCTGCTCGTAGCCACACATTTCCTAGCACGAAACACAAGTTCAAGCACAAAAGAAGACCCGAAACAAATTGATTTGAGCTTGATAGACAATTCCTTCAGCTAGAGCTCTTCAGAACCAGCTCGGTTGCCTTCCACGAAAGCTCATTGAATTCAACATGCTCTGCAGGAATGGCATGACTTCAAGGCCTTTGCTTTGCCTACACGCCGGCCTGTAAGCGCAAGCGCTCCGCTCGCTGCAGCAGCTCAGCATCCGCCATGAAAATTATTTCAGAACCCTCTCTTGACAAGTCTGAGCCAAATTAAGGAGTAAAAAGCAGGATTGCTCGCAGAACTGCTTCATCTCAATCGATGCCTGGTCTGTGAACCTATAGAAATCTCAAACATTGGGAGACACATGAAGGACTGCGAATCTGCACGTGCTCTTCCTCTTTGAGTCAGTGTCTAAGTGCAGCTCTCTGCAATGCAAAACATGCAAGGCGCACAGCAGTGAAGAGCTTCTCTGGACTTGGCAACCTCAGAGCTTGAAAAAGAACGTAGGTCGTCAAACAACACAATATCAAGAAATATCAAGAAAACGCAAATCCTTCAATGCAGGACACCAGGGGCACATATGGCCCTCGGGCTCCCAGCTCAGGCTCAGAACCCACTTGGCTTGAGCCCAAGTCCTGACACTCAGCCCAATGCAAAGATCTTGTAGGAAATTCTTAGGGTCTTTGTAGGTCTTTAAGACCTTTGACTCGATTCAACTCCTTCAAGACCTTCGCGAACCAAGCATCGAAGCTGCTCTTGGCCTCGCTTGAGGCGGCATCAGGGCCTGAGAGCCTTTGGAAGACTTTGGGCCGCTTGGGACAAGGCCAAGAGCTGCAGCAGAGCCACTTGTTCTTTCAATTGAGCAGAAGCTGCCTGGCTTTGAAACTAGTTTACAGAAATATGCTTCATCTTGTTATTCTCGTTAAAACCTAGAATCTTTCGGTCCAAGGCTGCAATACGTCCTCTTGCAAATGTGAGCTGTTTATCGCCTGTTGCTGCGCCGCTTCAACTTTGCCTTTCAAACGCCGAATCTCCTAAGCTACGAATGAGTTGCCAGCAAAAATTAACAAATCCAAAACTCCAAAACGAACCAAGATTCTCTTTCTCGCATACCACTTTTCCTGAGCAACTCCGTCACCATCCAGGAGATAGCTCGGACAAAGCGAAGGGATCAACCAAGCATGTGACAAGTTTGGGCAAACTGTGCACAGTATCTGGGTTCTCGGCGAAATTGCCTCGTTTCCCACTGGTCCTGGGACCTGAACATGGAACTTAGGAAGCATCTAAAGAATCAGTCGGCGAAAGTACTCTTGTACTGTCGAACACTTAAAACACTTGGAGTTGATTCTGCTTAAGTTGTTGTTTCTGCTTGGATCCTCACGTCCTCCTCTTCCTCCGAAGTGATGTCATCCTCATTCCTGAGGGTCAGCTTGCATTTGCTTCCATGTTTTAATGTTGTGTTGCGGGACTAGTTTGGTCCTACGAAGGAAGCTCGCAGTCTTCTCATTCCACCTTGGATCAACTGGTCAATCCATGTTTCATTGAGACTGATCTGACTGCCATCTGGGAAAGCGACTCATATCTTGCCAGCATCACAAACAATCGATTTATTGTCCTTGGTTTCCACACAAGGAGATGCTTGAGATAGAGTAGCAGTGCCTATATACTACTAGCTGTTCCACTCGTGCACTCATCCACTCTGGGATCTTCGCTCCAAAACGTCAGTGTACTGATAGAAACTCAGCTCTGCTGGTGGTCGAAAGTCTTCTCCTACATTGTTGGCAAGACCAAACAACACCCGGTTGGTTCAAACATACTACTAAGGACTTGTTGATTAAACTACCCGAATCAAGGACCAGTCCTTTGCAGAAGTAGAACTCAGTTTCTGATTGCGTTGAAGCAGTCACGACGAAGACAGGTGGCGCAGAGATCTGGATGGCAAGTGGCTTTTGGCTGGAACCAGAATTGAACATAGTGATCTGCCCAAAGAATGTTTAAACGACCCCTTCCCTATCGAATTTAACGCCTCACAGAAGCCCTGACAAGTGGCATCAAGCATAGGTACTTTTCTTGATCAACTTAAGAATATGCATGCTCATCGTTCATCCTATGTGTCTGAGCGGAGAATTTAGGCTCACAAACGTAGTGACCCCAAGTCACAGTCCCAAAGGTTGTACTCAAAACTTAGGCACACTTTTAGCTCAGGCTTCGATGCGATCAAGTAGATCAAATGAACACAAACTGAGTCACAAACGGCTGCAGTGAAACATACATCTATACACAACTATGGCATGTACATGTAACTGGTGCTACATCTGATCACGCCTCCTGAGCTTAACTTCTGAGAGACGGTGAGACGTTAAACGAATCAGGATTAGCACATGAGTGAGTTAGCTCGTAGCCCTTCAGTACATCTTGATCTTGAAGAGGTACCTACTCTAGCTCAAGCCGTTCAAGCTCTCAAGGTTAGTTCATGTTCACCCTCCAGGTAGTGGAAATTCATGCCTTTCATAGCTGTAGTCATTTTCTCTTCGGTGACAGCTTTCGTTAGCACGTCGGCCAACATTCGGTCGGCGCCTTCTTTGTTGAGACGAAACTCTTTCTTTGCTCTACGCTCTTGTACCCAGTGGTACTGAGTGTCAACATGTTGGCTCGTCCCAAACCTCGACGGTTTCCCATGGCGATTCCAGCGGAAGCGTCCATTGTCACCTCTTTGCAGGGAAACAACCCCCAGTCTTTTGCAGTTGATGCGACTCCAAGCATCTGACATGCTCCTGAAACAAGTCCGTAGTACTCGGATTCGCCACTGCTGAGGGAGACAACTCCTTGGCCTTTGCTGGCCATGAGCACGCCTCCTGACACACTCTTTCGTGTCCTTATGCAACCTGCATGGTCGGCGTCTGACCACATGTTGAAGGGGTTGCAGGTGCTCTGATTTGGAAACAACTGCGCAACTCTTAGTCGATACCTGACATATCTGGCCAATCGTTTCAGCATATTCCAGTACCTCGATGTTGGGTTCTGTAGACCCTGTGCCAACGAGCGCGTTGCAGTTTGCAGATCAGGTCGATCTTGTGCCAAATACGCGGCTCTCATGGCAATAGATCTATACATCGTTGCATATTCGGCACTCAGCGGAACTTCTTCGTGTTGTAGTTCCTCTTGACTTGGCTTGGCCAAAGGTGTCTTGACCTTGCCTGGTTGACCAGTGCCTAACCACTTGATGATCAACTCTGCATGTCTTGGATCTGGTTCCCACCAAATACCTTCGTTTGACCAGGTGATAATACGGTTCAACACTCTGACCTGTTGGCTCGCTTTTGGTGAACCTGGTGGGCCAAGAATGCCTCGTTCCACAACTTGCCATTCTTTGGCTGCTGAAGTGTGAAACCATTTGATGTCTTCAAAGCTTCCTACTGTCGTGAAATCATCTCCATGTACTTCTGTTCGCAGTTCTCTGGATGCATGGATTTGACTTTCCTTGTAAAAATCCTAGCTTCTTCATGAACCCTGCGATGGTCAGCTCCCAGTTCATGGGTGCATCTCTGGTGCCGTACAGGCTCCTGACCAATCTGCCTACCACATCTCCATCTTCTGGCTTCTTGCCCTCAGATGGGATCTCACAATAGAGTTCTCTTGTTGCCTTAGAATAGAAATGAGCTCTCTTCACGTCTAAAAATCCTAGGAAAGATTGCTTTGTCTTTCTTTTCTCGCCTTTCTCCAGTGGAAGGCTGTGACTGACATGGTTAGCAGTAGCTTCAAAGCTGCTAGGCTCGGCATGGCTGCGAAAAATTTGTCAAAACCTGAGCCTCTTTTGATTTCTTGTGCCACCAATCGACTTCTGTAGAGAGGATTGGTTTCATCTTGCTTGTTCACATCTACCCATCGAGTTCCAATGGTTTTGGTTCCTTTTGGAACTTTGCTTCTTGGGATCTTCCCCCAAACTCCCATTGATTCGACAATGTCGATTTCATCTTTCCTGGCTTTCTCTACCTTCTCAGGTAGAAGCTCTTTTCCACTGATGTCGTCATAGTACCACCAGTCTCTTGCCTCTTCTGCCATTTCTTCTGGCAGTGGGATTCTCTCTTCACACACTGGTTTCTCTGGGTCGATGCTGGATAGCACTCTTTCTCTGTCTTCTAGGATTAGACTTTCTAGAGCCATCCTTGGTGCTCTGGATGTCTCTTGTTCTCCCGGCTTCATCTTCATGTTCGCCTTCTGCCTTTCTCTTCTTGTCTCTATCTACTCTGGCTTTTGCTGTGGGTGATCCTGCTGGTTCACGTTGTTCTTCATGTTCTCCCTTTTCTCCACGTGGTTCAGGTTCGCGTGGTCTGCGAATTCCTGACGCTGATGCTGATGCTGTGCCTGGTGTTGATGGTGCTGCTGCTGGTTCGTACCACAGTTCTGTCACAATGTCCATCTTGTGGGGTAATGCTCCATTGAGTATCTCTGGTGGAAGGTCTGTTGACATGACTCCACTCTCAATGATTGCATTGTTTGCGTGGTTTCTTGTGACTCGGTGCCAGACGGTAGACCAATCAGGTCCTCCTGGCATTGTGGTTTGAAAACAATGAGCTTCGACGTCGAGTCATGCGAACACCGGACATGAATCGGGGACTCCCGATGGTCTCTTGCTTTCATATCCATGAAGGATTTGAGGTCTCTTGCCACTGACTGGCCGTGGCGTGCCAGCGACTGCTTCTCCTACTCTACTCTCATGTCTTGCTACTCTTGGGTTCTCTTCTTCTTCACCTCTGTCTCGACGCCTGTTGGTGTACTGGATGCCTGAAAGTTCTTTTGCCAATTTGGGTGGCATCGCAGGCTGGGCAACCTGCAGTGTACCCAAACTTCTCCAGGTCTTTCTTGGCGATGTAAAGCCTTGTTAGCTTTCTTTTCTTGTCATCGATTGCCGGTGGCTGAACTAAAGCTTCACCACTTGGACTGGCAATGATTGGTTCCCTTGGGGCTGCAATCGCTGGTTCTTCGCGAATTGCTTGAGGATCCCAGGAGGCGCCAGCGATTGACTTCAACAACTCTGAGTCATATCGATCTTCTTCGGGCTTTCTTCGAATGGACTGCACAGTGTCTTTCACTCCTAGAAAAATACCCTTAGTCCATTGGGCCTCAAACTTGTGACCTGTCTTGAGGTATTCGATGGCCTCACCAAATGGTGGAATTGCTACTTTCCATTCTCCTGGAACACGGCGTCTTTCCGTCTTGAAGTTCGGTCGACCGGAAAAACAAGTTGTAGACTGTGGATGCGTGTTCAACTAACCAAGTCAAAATCAGTGAATCGTCAGGAAGTTTCTCACCGTAGTTCGACTCGATAGCGGCTCGAAGAGTCCTGGCTTGTCCTTCCAAGGTTTGAACTGCTCGTTCAATTTCTCCCTTGGACTCCTTGACTCCTTTCGGGCTCTTCTCGATGATCAAGGTTCCTTCAATACCATTCTTTACTGCCTCAGCGACGGATGTGAGAGCATGTTTGGGATCATGTCGAATGACCAGTTTGGAATACCCTAGTTTCTTGATGTCGTTCAGGAGTAGCTTGGATCCATATGGACCTTTCGTCACACCTTTGTAGGGTAACACGTGGGCAAAAAGATGTTTCGTCCATCGATCTCTAACAACAAGAATTGGCGCATGTGTCTTTTTATCTAAAACTACATCATCATTTCGTGAATTCATGAAACAGTAATCTACAGTTGCTACTGGTGTGATCCACTCTCTTGTGTGGATTAGCTTTGGCCTTTCCTCTAATACAGGCCTCACACCAAGAATCCAAGAACGAAAAGGAAAATGTGAAACTGCGTGTTCCTCGAGCTCTTTTCGCGTTGGGCGAACTGGAGCGTTGATCTTGAGACAAGATGGAATTTCATCACCTGGCTCGGCCTCAGCGGCTTCAAAATCTGCCGGGGCCTCTTCGTCCGTGACCGGACTTACCCACATTGGCGCCGGGTGAATTGGTGGAACACGATCGGCGCGGAGTAAACTCCGTTGCAAAAGGAAATTGGGATCTTCTTCCCATCTCGAGCAATGTGTCCTCCAGTCTTGCTCATCTGGATGGACCAGCCCTTGTCGGCGAGGGCTCCTGCAGACAGTAATGGCTTGGAGACTGCCATCACTCGAATGCTGCACTGTCCCGTCAGGGCTCCATTGCCGACGCCAATCGTCACCTTGGCATTGATCTTGCCAAGATCCTTCACCGTCTCGCCTGATGCTGTCTTGTAAATCTTTGAGTCCGCGCCATCAGGCTGAGTAGGCTTGTAGCCCAATGCGGCGGCGAGGTCGACAGGAATACAGGAGGCTGCTCCTGAATCCAAAGTCACCTGATGAGCCATGGGCGTCTCCATGGATGCCAGCTCCAAACTCTTGAGGGCCAGTGGATCTTCTTCACCTTCACTTGGCTCACTTGACGGCGTTGGATACCGCTTTCCCTTTCCTTTCTGGGTCTCACGAGCGGCATCTTTTGTCGCCACCTCGAGTCAACTGCACCTTCTTCTGCTTACCGTTCTCCTGGCCCTTCTTGTGGCCTTGCTCGGAGGCAGCCGGAGCCGAAGCGGCTCCGCTCTTGCTCGGGGATCGAGACCGGGACTTCATTCGAAGCGGTTGCCTTGGTGCTTCGCTGGATTCCTCCTGCTTGGTTCCTGGCTTGCGAAATCGTCCCAGATGCTCTTCAGTCGAGCTCTTGAACCAAGCCATGCGTTCCTCCTTGGTTTTACCCTTCTTGTCAGGAGGTGGAGGTGTCCTGACAATGCGCCTTTGCTTTGGCGTCTTTGGACCCATATCATCCTCTTTTTCTTGGTCTTCCATCATCTTCTGCGTGTGGGCTATCATGTAGAAAGGAGATTCCTTCTTGATGGTCTCCCACTTTGGATCTTTCATTTTCAAATGCTCTGCCACTTCTTCAGGCTTCAGATCCATACCTGCATCT